TATTCATTATTTGGTATGAAAGGTTTTGCAATGGAAATACAGAGGATTTGGAGCATATTTCATGGATAGTTCTATGGCTAATGACATACAATAAAAATATCCGATGGTGGAAGATCCAACAGATACATTTGATGACATTTGTTCAACAAATAAATAATGCATATAGGTTGCCCATTTTCAAAGTTAGGAAACATTGTTTCGACACATCGATTATGACGTTTTCTTGGATGATTCGGCGTTTTCCAAATGTTCTTCTATTTGGTGACTCCACACAAAGGTATGATGCCCTTTTATGCAACATTTTTATGCATTCAGTTTTTGTATTGAGTTTTTAAATAGTTTCATCAATAATTAATAGTTTATTAGTCTAGAAGATGATTAATTGGTGAGCATAAATTATTAATAAAACTATTTAAAAACTCAATATATTATTTGAAAAATTAAAATTTTAACATTTTGATATCTTTATTATAATATTTGAATATTTGAATATTTGAAAACTTAAAATTTTGAAATTTTGTAAAATTTGTTGTAATATCTAAAATTTGATAATTTGAATTCTTTTAAAATTTTTCCGTCCAGGAGCACTAAGGACCGCCAATGACCACCAAACCCGAATTTGACCGATATTGATCAATTTCCACCAAACACCCCTAATCGTAATCGGTTGCAGACTGTGAAACGGTGAATCTTTGATAATTGGCCGTCAAGATCGATTTCTACAACACTGTTTCTAACATTTTAATAAGCCATAGAGAATTTTTTCAAAACCAAATTTTTTGAATGACATTACTAATTAACAAGCTTTATGGTAATTTTTTTCACATAATCATATTTTTATATTCATATATCTAAATTAAATATTTATATATTTTTGTCTTTGATTGATATTTATGGAGTGCGCGACCACAAAAAATATTTGAAAAAGCTTTTCTTAGTGGTTGTTTATAGAGTTGTTTTTGTTGATGATTTAACAATAATTTGGCACCAAAAAACTATATGAAAAAACTCTTCTATTGTAAATGCTCGATGATGTATTTCGCTCGTTTGTTTGTATAGCTTATGGTTAGTCGTTTTTATTAATAAAATTTGGATATGTTTAAAAATACATTTTGCATCAAAAAGGGCATCCAGGTATTGTGAAACAAGTGACAATTTTCATATATAAGAAAAATGGTTGATTATTTTAAGAGTAAATTATTGACTTCGTCTATGTGGTTTGGTTAAAATTACGCATTTCGTACCTATACCTTTTTTTTTTTGCATTCGGACGTCCTTGTTGTATGATTTTGTTGTATTTTTAGTCTTTCTTCCTATATAACTATAATACCTTTATGAATTTCTTTTTCAATTATTTATTTTTATTATTATTTATAAATCACAAAGAGTTCACTGGCCCCACCCACCTCCCACCACAACCGACAACTTGGTTGTTTCTCCACCGGTTTTGCTCCACCGCCGCCGATCATACTTATCGGTTTTGCTCCACCGTCAACAGAAACCTCCCTATCCCTTCATCTTCTTTTAATTAGGTTTGATCCACCTCTACCTCCTTCGTTTCCTCCGTGTCGGAAACCATTGGACCTTAACCAACCATCCCTGAAACAACTAAATCGCCTCCACTTCTACAATCTGTCGTCATATCCCTTCCCCTAAAAAACGATGTCACCATTCTCTACTCCACCATACCCTCTCTCTTTAACGGTATCCTTTCATCTAGCCAGAAAACATCGTAGCCACCGCTCTCTACTCTGCTGGTTATGACTATTGCTTTGGATTCCACCTATCTCTACACCTTCTCCTAGCATAACCCCCATTGAAAAAACCATTTTTCTATCTCACTAACGTCATTCTATACTTTGTCATTCATGCCCTATATACCAGATTTGGATTTGGAGAATAGATTGTTGGAGGCTTTCAATCAATGTACGTTTTTTTAGGGATTTGAAGAATAGAGGGTTGGCGGATTTTGAGAACATGTAGGTTTTGTTGGTGTTTGATTTTTTTTTGAACGGCAAAAGATTCAATAAAACTAGCAAAAAGCTAGAAAAAAAAGAACAATTACAAAAAACTAAACTGCACAAATGGTCCCTGTGGTTTGCTCAAAATTGCCACTTTGGTCCAAAAAGGTTTGGACTAGCACCACAGGTCCAAAGTTTTCATTTTGTTGCTAGTTTGATCCAATTTGCTTTGAACTTTTTCATAATGACAATTTTGCCCTTACTTATTTATTTATTTAAATATTTTTCTGTTTTAAAAGAAAAATAAAAAAAATTGCATTTTCTATTTTACTTTTATAATTTTTTTTATAAACGACTAAAAATAAATAAATAAAATATACAATCTCTCTCTCTCTCTCTCTCTCTCTCTCTCTCTCTCTCTCTCTCGTAAACAGTAAAGACACACATTTGTCTTACTCCCTCACCTCCAAAAACTTTGAACCCCCATATATATTACAACCGGAAGCTGTCATCACCACCTTCCGCCACCACCACCATCGGATACCACCGACCAAGGTAAGTGATTTCCTTCCCCTACCCCGATCTAAACCCACAGATCCACCGACACCCCTTCCTATCAGCAACCCTAAATCATATTTGTGGAAATGAACCCCTACACCTCCATTTTTTTTCCTGCAACACCATAACCATCACCGATTATCACCTCCCGTCTATTTCCTCCCTATTTAGCCTCTCCCGTGTTCTCTATCTCATCCCCAACCACATGTAATTTTTCTAGTGGTTGTTTCTTCCCCATGACCGATGGTTGTTGAACCTCCGCGAGGATCATCATCATCAGACCTTGAAATCCACCAATTCTCACTGAATATGAAATCCATCCTCACCACCCACCTACCCCTCTCTCTTTCATCCCATACGAACATACGAACATACCCATCTTCTTCCTTCTTCCCGTAGAAAATCAAACATATGAACATACACACTCTCTCAAAATTAAACCCTCTGCAAATCTATGATCTTTGACATAAAATATAGAGGAAGAAGAAGAAACTAGGGTTCTTGAACCCATTGAAAATCCCCATAAAAAAGACCTAAAACACCATTCCCTTATTAAAAATCCCCATACCTTCTTCTTTGATTATGATTTCAACTTTCCTCCCTGTTTTGAAACGACTACGATACCCAGTTACAGTAAAATCGTTACTCACTCGATCAATCATCCAGGTATGCGTGAAGATCTTTATGCTAAAGGATTTGGGCCAGTTTCTCATTTTTCAATCTGAATCGATCACATGTGTTGATTGGTGTATAAAAGTCGTGAAGAACAATGGATTTTTTGGGTGTAATCCATTAAACTGGGTATTCTGATGTAAGCTTCAACTCAAATTTTTGCAGATGACGAAAATGGAAGAAGATGCATCGGCGTTTATATTAGAGTGGAAGAAGATGGGGTTGTGGAGAGAGAGAGAGAGATTGTATATTTTATTTATTTATTTTTATTTCTTAATAAAAAAAATTATAAAAGTAGAATAGAAAATGCAATTTTTTTATTTTCTTTTAAACAAAAAAATATTTAAATAAATAAATAACTAAGGGCAAAATCGTCATTATGAAAAAGTTGAAAGCAAATTGGACCAAACTAGCAACAAAATGAAAACTTTGGACCTGTGGTGCTAGTCCAAACCTTTTTGGACCAAAGTGGCAATTTTGAGCAAACCACAAGGACCATTTGTGCAGTTTAGTCATTACAAAATAGCATCCATAGGGTTTTGCAACCATCTTCCCCAATTAATCGAGGTCCTACGTCTATTACTACACAAAAAAAACGACTTAGAGACAATGGAATCAAACAAAGTAAAATTCTTTTGGCTATGTCTGCCAAACAACAAATCATTTCGAAAACGCCAAATATACCACCAAGTCACCAAAAAAAACACCTTCTAGGACCTCCTTAGCCTGCTTCCTTATCCGTAAAGCATCAAACCAGGACAACCATTCCATATAGGACATAAGAATCAGGATCGAGATATCCCACCACCTTAACACCTGAGAGATCAAATTCGAGGCTCTGTGACAAGAGAAAAAAATATGATTGGTGGTGATGGTAATTCATGACAACGGTAGTGGTAGTTGGTGACATGGTGGCTATTGACAGTGTTTGGTTGATTGCAATGGCGGTGGTCTATGGCCGTGGTGTTGTTTGTGTGTGTGTGATGATAAATTTAGAGTTATTACATTAATTTATGTTAAATTAATAATAATAAATTTGAAAAAGGAAATATAAAGGGTAATATAGTATTTTTACGACTTTTAGGGACTATAAACGCAATAAAATTATAGTATAAAGATAGTCCGAGTGCAAAAAAAAAAAAGGTTAGAAACAAACATGCAATTTTAATCAAACTACAGAAACGATTTTAATAATTACTCTTAATTTAATAAATACTCGTATGAAATAACGTACCTTTTGTGACTTTTTCTTCAATAAAATTATGTACAGCATTTATTGTATAAGAATTAAGAAAAATATATGGAACATGTACTAAGTTCATTATTGTTGTTCTTATGTACATGTTCGACGCTTCCAAAATAACACGCAGTCATGTTTTGTTTTAAATTAAGCTTAAATTTTCAATGTTAAGAGATGGCTGTTAGGGACCTATCACTCTGATATGACTTTTTTTTTTTGTTCCAAAAGATCAATAACTTATATTATTTATTTATTCAAATTATGATAGACGACGAATAAAATAATTGTCAAAAATCTCATGAAAGATTTCCCTTTTCAAGTATCCTTTTCTGTCAAATAGGCAAGGATGTAACGCATTGTTGATTGAGAAAAAAAAATGATAATTTCAAGGTATTATCAAACTTTTTAAATTAATCTACTGATATTTTTGGACTAAAACATGAATCATCGTAACCGGACTAAAAATACGATTTGACAATTTATATATATATATATATATATATATATATATTATATATATATATATATATATATATATATATTATATATATATGTGTGTGTGTGTGTGTGTTTGTTTAATAGTTTGGGATAAAATTTGTAAACATACAACCTACAAGAGAAAGCACGCATCTTCATAGAACAAGTCATGGCTTTTGGATTTACATCTTTGGTTCTTTTCTTTCATCTTCTTCTTGTTCAGGTAGTTCCTCTTTTTCTTACTTTGTCACACACACAATTGTTATTAAGTTCAAATCTAACGTATTTTACAAATTTGATTTGCAACAGCATGTGATAGGAGATAGCGCTACACAAGCTAATGTCTTAATACTCAATAAATTGGAGGATGACACTAAAGATCTCCATCATCATGACCATACGCATCAAGATCATGGTCATGGTCTTGATCATCAACATTCATCATCCTCGTCATCATCGACGAATCATAAAGACCCTCAATTAATGGTTTTCTTCATGATAAATAACTTAAAAGAAGGCGAAGTGATGCCTATTTACTTCCCAAACAGACACCTTTCCCCATCTCAAATCCTTTCTAAAGACGAAGCCGATAACATCCCTTTTTCTCTTGAAGAATTCCCAAACCTCCTTCAGTTGTTCTCAATCTCACACGGCTCTCCACAAGCCATAGCCATGGAAAACACCCTCAAAGAATGTGAGGTCAAGCCCATTAAGGGTGAGACCAAATTTTGTGCAACCTCATTAGAATCGGTCTACGACTTCACAAGGGAAATCTTTGGATTTGACACTCGTGTCAAAACTTTGGCAACAACCCACCTTAAACACTCATCTGTTGGACTTTTGCAAAACTATAAAGTGGTTGAAATCTCACAAAACATACCATCTCCAAAGTTAGTAGCTTGTCACACCATGCCATACCCATATGCAGTGTTTTATTGCCATAGCCAAGAGAGCGAGAACAAGGTGCTTATGGTTTCATTAGAAGGTGAAGATGGTGATATGGTTGAGGCACTGAGTGTTTGCCACATGGATACGTCTCAGTGGAGCCGTAAGCATCCATCCTTTGGCGTGCTTGGTGTCGAGCCAGGAACCTCCTCTGTTTGTCACTTCTTTCCTAGCGATAACTTTGTCTTCATACCTTTTTCTGCAACCATGTAATCAGTATGCTTAGATACGTACACAAAACAAAAGAAGGAATTAATTTTACTGCCTTTGTTTGTGACGTTAAATAAAATTCATCCAAAGAGACGCCATGTTTGGTTATGTTTAGTATTCCCCTTCACAATAATATCGCATGTTTTGTGGTATATTTTAACATTGTGGTTAATTTGTAATATACAGTGTACTGTATGTAAGCTTTTCAAGTGAAAATTGCTTCAAAATATGTTCTTAATTATATCTAAAGGCTTACACGAATCAAATAACATTTTGATGCATTCATTAGATATAAAATATCTTTTAAATATAATTTTAAACAATAAAGTTTTATATAAAATTCTGATATATTGATAATCCAAAAGTTTCAGTGTATACAGAAGGAGAATGGAGAAACTGTGTCGGGTGTTATAACACCAAATTGATAGCAATGGTGTTATAATACGGTCACACCCCCGAACCAGACGGCGGAAACGTCCGGGGGCTCGCGTGACTATAAATTGAAATATCATCATAATGAATATACATGAAACATAACACAATTGTCACAAACATTACATATAACAACTGGCATTGTTCACATCAAGTACATTGTTTTACATTACATAGTTCGAAGACATAAGTGGTAAGATAATTGACATATGCATAAAAGAAATCCCAAAATACTCTCGACGATTCTTCAGCTTAACGATTACCTGAGAATACAAGTTATTTTGAAAACGGTCAACATATATAATGTTGGTGAGTTCATAAGCATGTTTGAATAAAAGTCTTTGTATCTTTTGTAAACCCAAAAAAATCCGATATTTTCTGTAAAATGTCCGAAAAATAATGTGAAAATCGAGTATAAATGCATGTGTGAATTTCATAGTAGTAACATATAGAAAATGCAGTTCAAATTTTCTTTCTATTCTTTCTGTTGTATGTAAGTAGTATTTGAATAATAGTATTTCCCCAGAAAATCCGATATTTTCTGATTTATAAAAGTGTCACGTTCCTTGCACTGTAGTAATGTTTTGTATCCTTATGAATTACGAGTTTTTAATTTTCTATAATGTCTTAATGGGAATGGATCTCTATATGAGTCGTTATAACCATACATGACAATGACTGATTTGCCTGTCTTGACATTTTTCCAAATGTCGGATTTTCGTTCAAGGTTTTGTCACCCTAGACTGGCCTAGTCTAACTGTAGCGAACAGCTCAGGTGTGGGGGAGTCACCCCCGTATAGATCTATACACAAACTCTCGCTCTCCCTCCAGGAGACTCTGATTATAACTACAAGCTACGGTCATACACTCGGTGATGTCAACCGAAACGTTTCACTAGATCCCATTTGTCTTCACATGAATTTGTATAATGTTATATGTATTTAGAAGTTCGAACGCTAGATGATGTATGAAATGAAAAGATAAGGCCCAACAAAACATGAAGAAAAGGCACAATGGCCCATTAGACGTGTAAGTTATTTCTGGGCCAAATTGGCATGTAAATGGGCCACTAAGGCCCAATAACATGTAAACGCTAAATTAGGCCCATTTAGCATGTAATTGGGTCACTTAGACCCAGTAGACATGTGATGAATACATTGGGCCCAACAAACATGTAATTGGACCACAAAAAGGCCCAATAAACATGTATAGCAAATACTAGGCCCAATAATCGCACCATTGTTGTATTTCGTTTGTTCGTTATAGTATAGTTTGTTATGTCATAATTCTATAATTTGAACTTATCATACATACTTATAAAGCTAGCATTTTTCCTTGAACCTCATGCATTTGAAATCCCCATAAAAATTTGCAAACACCTCATGCATTTGAAACCTCCTATTTTAATGAATACCACTCAAAAGTCTCTTAATAATGATTAACAACTCAAAGGTTTTATAACTTCTATAATATATTTAATAAACAATTAATGAATACTCTACTATAAAAAGGTCAACTTTTTGAGTAGACACACAAATACAAATCACATACAAAATTCACAAAGAAAACAAGTTTAAAGTTTTTTGTGTTGGTTTGAGGGCTTTGAACAACTTTTTGAGCCATGTTATTATGTTGAAGTTTTTAATTTGTAAGTTTGTTATATACTAATTCGTTTTTGTATTTTCTTGATTTAAGTATTCTTTTAAGAAAATCATTGTATGTTGTGGTTGAAATTTTAATGTAAATTAGATTAGATTCATGTTATCGATCATATGTTATGGAAGGTGATATATATAATATTTAATTAAGTATTGTATACATGTTTGTATGTTCATGTTGCTTCAAAACAATAATTAATTAAAAATCATGGATATGTCATATTATCCATATTACCCATGTAAGCCTTTTTTAAAATGTAAATTGTCAATCTTATCACTTTATATTTTAGTATATGTTTAACATTTTAATTATAATAATAAGTGATTTTTAAAAGTTTCTTTCACTTATTAATAATAACAAGTGGTTTTAAAATTAATAAGAAATAATTATAAAATAATAAAATCAAATTACATGGATATGTTATATTATCAATGCAAGTCTCTTTTGAAATGCAAATTGTCTATCTTATCACTTTATTATTTAGTGTATGTCTCACATTTTAATAATAATATTAAGTGTTTCTTAAAAGTCTTCTTTAACTTATTATTAATAATAAGTGGTTTAAAATTAATGAATTACAATTTTAAATGATAATAACATCAAATTATAAATTACATTTAGCTATAAATAAATTGTATTTTAAATGAACATCATTATTGAAATTAGAAAATTATCGCATAAGTAAAAATATAATTAATCAATAATAATAATTGTTAAAAGTAATACTAAATAGATAATTATATTTAATTCTATTAATGAGGAATGTGGGTTGATGTCAATGAATATTATTGTTCAAAATAATTGAGATTATATATATATATATATAGATATATATATATATATATATATATATATATATATATATATTATAAATTAAATAGTGTAAAAATATTATCTCAAAGTTAATGTCAATTACATAACCATTTTAAACATATATTTTCAATATTTTTAACAATATATTTTTAATCTTCGCTGCACAACGCGCATGAATTCGTCTAGTTTTTAATAAAACTTACGCTTTAAACCTCTTAAGAACTAATGTGAGACATTTAAAGGCTTATTTCACAAAAATGTCATTTTTGGTCTATTTTAGTTAAAAATAACATTTTAGCCCATTAATTTATAAAAGTTCTATATTTTCGGCCCAAATGTTTAATAATTGACAGATTTGACCCAAAAATACATGTATTGGCGTTTTCAGCCCATTTTTGCAGAAAATTACATTTTTGACCCATTTTCCGTGAATTTTACATTTTCGGCCCAAATTTCCAAAAACTTTGCATTTTAAGTCCAATTTAGAAATAAATGTTATTTTCACCCCTAAATTCGGTTTATTTACATTTATGGCTCAAACTTTGATCAATTGACATTTTCAACCTCAAAACTTTTTTTTTTCCGCAAATTTGGGCCCAAAACCGTGAGGCCCAAATATTAAGCCCATTAGGCTAAAATTTACACTTTTGGCCCTTTGGAAAGTAGGGTTATCATGAGAGTGCTTGGTTACATGATAATAACTTACCAAGGATGGTGATTGTGGTGAAAAATCCTCTTGTAAACACCCTAAATCTCGAAATTTTGAGGGATGAAGGAGGAGTTGTTCTTGAGAGTGTTTGAGAGTTTATTTGAGAGAAATTTTGCAAGTGAAGTGTGTGTGTGTGTGCTCTTCTCGGCCGAGAGATAAAGAGAGAGGGGAGAGGAGTGCATGGAAACATGAGAGTGCTTGGTTACATGATGAGTAAATGCCTAGTTATCCTCTAAACAAAAATGAGGTGGCATGGTTTAAGTTAATTATCCATTTTCCCTTTTTTTTACACACATGGGCTGAAGATGGGCCAAATGAAGTGAAAGAAAATAGCATTGGGCTCAATCTCTTGGCTTGTTCGAAATCATGAGGCCCATAGAGAAAATTTTCGGCCCATTGGGCCTTTAGGGTAGTTCACGGCCCAATGAAGTCCAATTAAAGATGTTTAGGGTCCATTGAGGCTATTGGAATTTGTTGTGGCCCAAATTGGCCCATTAGGGTAAACTAATCCATTCTAGGCCCATAATGTCCCAAAATATCAAGTTTCATGAAGGTGGAACCGTTTAGAGCCCAAATTAGGGTTTCTAGGCCCTAATTAGTCAACTTGGATACTTCTTGGTCCATTTGGCCCAACAAGAAAATCCTAGACCTTATTAGACTTGAACCGGGATTTTTAGAGTTTCAAACTCTTTGTTGAACATAAGAGGGTGTATTTGAATGTGCATTAAGTGATATCTACATAGATTACATGCTTTACAATAGTTGAATGATTACATGAGAGTAGAATTTCCTAGCTAAATTGCTAGTTGTGACATCATCCCCCCGTTAGAGGGAATTTCGTCCCAAAATTCTTTTGAAAACTAGGATTATGTAGGAGAGAATAAGTGAGGGTACTTTTGCTTCATTTGATCTTCGCGTTCCCATGTGAATTCCGGTTCACGCTTGGCGTTCCATCGAACCTTCACAATCGGCATGCGGCTTTGCTTTGTACGTTTTACTTCCCTATCCAATATCTCAACTGGTTCTTCGACGAACAGGAGATTCTCGTTGATCTCGATCTCTTCAATAGGAATGACAAGAGTTTCATCTGATAGGCACTTTTTTCAGATTTGAGATGTGAAACACGGGGTGTACGTTGCTGAGCTCGGCAGGTAGCTGCAGCTTGTAAGCCACTGGACCAATCTGGGCAAGAATCTCGAACGGTCCAATGTATCGCGGGTTCAGTTTTCCCCGTTTCCCAAAGCAAATCATTCCCTTCCAAGGAGAGACCTTTAATAACACGCGATCCCCGACTTAAAATTCTAACGGCTTCCGACGCTTGTCAGCATAGCTCTTCTGTCGGTCTCGCGATGCTTGAAGTCGAGCTTTGATTTGGATAATCTTCTCCGTCGTCTCTTGAATAATTTCTGGTCCTGTTAGAGTATTGGCTGGTGATTGCCCTTTTGCTAGTTGGGTGTCACCCACCTCGGCCCAGTATAGGGACGATCTGCATTTACGTCCGTAGAGAGCCTCGTAAGGAGCAACCTTGATGCTCGTGTGGTAACTGTTGTTGTATGAGAATTCGATCAGAGGCAAGTGG